TTCTGATAAATTCCTTGTTGGACATGGCACAGAACGTTCTTGCTACAAAATCATATTGTTTTCTTCCATTCAGCTCAGCAGGCATTGCACAAGCCCGAGGACTGGGCATCATTCACACTTTAAAAAAACATCCCCTTCACCATGTGAACAGAAGGAATGATTGATGGGACAGGCAAAGATGGAACTCTGGATGGCAGCATGCACTCTGCAGCAAATAAACTTACAGGCTGCAGTCAGCCATATGTTTTCCTTCCTAACATCTCTCCTTCTTGCTTATTGGGAACGTGTTTTCTGAAAAGTGAGGCCATAGACCACCCCCTGAATGGAAGGAACGCTAAAAACTCTCATAATTAAAGTGTTTCTTTATATATGACAGTGAAAGACACTTTGCTTTCAGTCTTGAATAGCTTGTGGCATGAACTAAGCATCAACAATGAGACAGGAAGATAACTGGGATTGGAATCAAAGTGCAAAATACCCCTTCTTGGGTCTTTGCATTCTCCTGGTGTCTCGGACGTGATTGGGACCTCTGTCTTGCTTCTCAGGAGGCTAGGAAGTACACTTGCTCCCCTAGTGTACTAGGGGAGTACCCGAGTCTCCTACCAGCTTGTTTCCCTGGAACTTCTGGAATCTGGAGGCAAAGAGCAGACTAGCTCTGCTAATCCCTTGCAGAGCCTCTTGATTTCTCCATATGGTTTTGGGAGGGATTAAATGAAAGTTTATATGAATCCCAGAATCTCTCTTGTGATTTGTGGATAGTAGTGGGGTAAACCCAGTGACAGGGTGCAGGGCTTTTGGTGGAACTGAGCTGGAAGCAAGGGATGGTGGTGGTATCAGGAGGCAGTGTTCTTGGAGAGAGGCTTTTGTCAGCTAAGGGAATGAGAGAGGGAGGAAGCCCAGGAAATGTAAAAATCCGCTGCAAGGTATGGGTCTTGCAGAGCTGAAATTACGAGCAGTTTTGGTTTTTCTTCCCTTTTTAGAGCAAAAGATGCAACTACAAAAAAATTGAAAATAAAGCATTTTATTTAACAACTCAGAAGAAGAGAGGAGACTCTAAAATCACTGTTTATTACATTATGGAAGTGAAGAAACAACCAGCAGATTGAACTGTGGATCCCAGGTTGCTGAAATTTATCCCTGTTTCTTGCAGGAGCCATTACAGAGTAGATGAGCTTGAAAACGATTAACTAAACGTGGCACAGAAAAGAAAATCTTGATAGCATATGTAGATTTATGTCTGTGCCCTTGGTTAGAACTAGTTACGGAGCTCATTCAAAGATGTATTAAATGGGAGGTTGCTCAAAAATTAATTTTGTCTCCCAGGTCTAAGAAGACATACTGTATACATGGGGCTCTGTTAAAATCCCTGGCACAACATAACTTTTCCCAATTGCTGATTTCATTAGATGTGGACATTATCACCTTGTAATGGTTATATTGGATTAACACATTTTTATACATTCCTACCCCTGCTTACATATAAGCCTATGTTTTTCAGATTCTTACACACACTTAAGAAGATATAGAAGTTTCATTGTTGTGTGTTTCTGCATATGTTACGCAGAAATGAAGAAACCACTTGAGTGAACTTGAGAATCATCCCAAATTAGAAAAAATAAATCTTGTCTCCAGCCCAATTTAATAATTCATTTCTGTGCTGCGTATTTCAGAGAAAAGGAATTTAAAATGTCAGGGAATTAAAAGAAATATTAGGAAAGGAAAGGCTTATATTCCTCTGCATCTAAATTCAGGCTTTCTGATCACAGTTGTGTCATTCAAAGAGGCTTGAGGAGAAAGCTGGCTTATAATTAAAAGTATTTTATTGTTCCTAAACCCAGTAAAATATAGCCGCTTATTTTAATTGATTGTAGCAATACAACAGTAAGATCCAATATAGTGTGATATAGTGTGCTGTAAATTGAGGGTTGCAGTACTATTCCATTAAATATTGATCTTTCAGAGAATCTCAATACAAAATGAAAATCCCTATGGGGTGTTTCAAGTACTTTGAAGCAATCCAATTCTTCTTCCTCTTTGGAACTCTGCAGTTTCATCAAACATGAGAAACTTCTGTGCTTCCTTTGACTCAGCTTCTTCTTGAAGCATTGGCCTCTATTTTGAAAGCAAATATATCTCTTGATCATAAGAACTATTTGTACAGACTGTCGTAGAGATAATAATTTGTCATTTCTTCCCTCCCCCCATGCCATGACCTTGGCCAAATCCGAACACCATCTCATTCTTAATGTCTCTTAGTGCTTCAGCGTTTCTGACTCAAGGTCAGAAGAATCATATAGCTCCTCTGCTGATGTGAGTAACATGCAATGTTGGCTCTCTCTCCTGGGAAATAGCTTTCACCTTCCAATAGGCCTCTCATAACCTGTGGAGAAATGCTTCCCAGCCAAGCAGTGTTTTCTGTCTCCACTTCAAAACTCCCTTGCAAGAGGGACATTAGCTTCCCGTTATATTTTCCATAGTCATAGTAAGAACTTTGTCACATCGGGTTACCCCACAGCTCTGGCACCTCCCGGATTGATCAGCTATGCAGAGGAGTGTATAGTTTTTCTGGAGACAGTATGGATACGTAACTATAGCCTTGATGCAATAGTTACAAATTCCTCATGCCTGGAGATTAACACAGAGGTTCTTTTTGCATTCTCGCTTTATCCCCGAGGAATGGCTGTAGGATAGTTCCTCTCAAACAAAATCCAAGTCAAAAGCAGTGGAACAGCAGCAAGTCCAGTACTTACCCCAGAAACAGTGATACACTGGAGCTGTTTATCACTCTTCTCTCATGAAGACCTCTGCTAGGGCAACACTGAGATGATTCAGAGCAGTGTGTCTTGGAGTTAACATCCAACTCTGAGTTACTGCTTCCTCTTGTCTCCAGGCTCAGATAAATGTGGTTGCTTTGGCTGGATTGATTCACATCTGTTGGGGTTTTGTTTGTTTGTTTGTTTTCAAAATCTCAAGCTTATTTATATTACCAACAAAAGCAAGGTGTTTGAAATAATCACATCACCATATCCTGCAGGTCCTGTGTATGGTCCTGCAGGGGCTGTTCCCCAGATTGCCTTTGCTCCACCACTATCCTCTTGCTATGGAACCTGTCGCTATTGAAGCGTCACGCTTGTTGCACTAACAAAAATGCTGTGCTACAGCCAGAGAACTCACTAGCAGCTTGGCGATTAGAATGTCTCAAAATAATTTTTATTTCCAGCAGTTCAGCCCTTCCAAATAGAAATGGTTTCGTTCAAATAGTATTACTTTTCCAACATCACAGGTGATTCTCATCCACTATCAACTTTTCCCTCAGATCTCATCCAGGTACACTGTAATTTATGTTCCTAGTAAAAAGTCCATCATTCACTAACATTCAGATATTTAACTCTAACCCAGCTCCTCAGCTTGCATAAATCAATGTTGTTGCATTGATTTCAGTTGAGCTATGCCAGTTGAATTCTAGCTTATTTCAAAAAGTAGAGAAATAATTGCTTAATACTGTACAGTTTTGAGTCTGACCTTTTGAATTTAGATCTGAGTTCAGAAAAAGAACATTTTCTACCTTGGAGATCATTCTTTCCGCTTACCACACCCAGTGCAGCTGTTGCATGGCTCCCACTGCCTTCATGGCTGAGGGAGAATGTTAATGGTCTCACGTTCTTTTTTTCACCAGCCACCATCAACCGTGGGCATAGCTACTTGCCAGCCTTGCTGTCTCTTCGGATAGAGAACTCCAGCTGCAACCTGTTGTTTATGTATGCTCTAGGGGTCTTCAGACCACCTCACATTGAGAAAAAAGAAAGAACATAACAAATCTTATTCTTGCACTTAATAGTCTGTTTCTGCAAGCAGAAGCTCCATATAAAAGGAGCTTTCATCCTGATATGGCTCTTATAAATAAGCCTACCTGTTACTATGTCATGCAAATAACAATTCTGGAAGAATGCTCAGTATTGGTTCCTTGTTTTCACACCCTCAACTTTATTTTCACATTTTCCACAATTTTTCACTGTGGAAAATCTCATCACTTTTGCCTATTTTTCTGTTGTTACTCAGGTAAGAATTTGCTGGAATAAGATCTACATAGTTAGTTATGGTTCATATGGTTTAATAGTTGTATGAATCCCCTTTTCCACAGTACAAATACTTCTGCTTTCTGGTACAGGGGAAAAAGAAAAAAAGGAAAAAAAAAAACCCCATCATTTAGTATTTTAATTATGTATAAAATCTACGATAACCACTGTGTCCTTTAAAAATAGCAGGTTTTATGCAGTAGACAAAACTGTAAGCAATTCTGTATTTCTTTATTTTTGTGTTTCTTTCTAAGCAAACTAAAATCAACCTTCAATCAATTTGGTTCAGCCAAGCTTATAGCGAGAATGAATAAAAAGGAAATTGGTCTCGGGAGGGAGGGAAGAGGAGAAACATGCATTTGCTAATGGCATGGTGAAAACTCTGCTTCCATATTCATTCTAAATAAACATGAAAAATGTTTGGCATATGATTGTAGGAAGAACTCATCCACAGCACATGCTCTTTATCATAGTAATCCTACAGAAACATGTTGCCAATTGCAAACAATTCACAGCATGCACAACCAGGTTTGACATTGCCAAGATAGTCTTAAGTTGAATGAATGTGTGACTTTGCTTATTTAATAGCATGTTTGCCTCCGTGTGCCTCTTTAAGAGCCAGTGTGAGCCCAGAAGAATTTTTTGGTATTGAGTTGATATTTTGTTTCTACTTCCAGGTTTTATAACAATCGTTGCTTGTAATAGTCCGAGAAGCTTTCTTCCTACTTCCATTGCTTGCTTGCTGATTTATAACATCTTCTTGAGCAACCTAAATAATCTCTATATATATGTAAACTGCATATTTGGATTTCTGCTGTCATGCTTGCTTTCAATGGCTTTAAAAAAGATTTGAGGACAGTGTATATTTTAAACTGGTACTTAAGAGTTTGCCTTATTTATGAATATTACATTCCTTCTTTCTAGGCTCTTAAGGATGATGATGCAGAGACTGGGCTGACTGATGGGGAAGAGAAAGAAGAACCCAAAGAAGTGGAAAAACTAGGGAAAATCCAGTATTCTTTGGATTATGACTTCCAGAACAATCAGGTTTGAAACAACCAACCTGTAACATTTCATTTCTGTGTGTGCAAGGGGAGCATGAAGTAATACATTAAGTTACAGTAGATATTTCTAAAATCCTTACGGCTTGCATGGAAGTAAAGGGAGAAAGCAAGACAGAAGATTCATGACAGAGGTACTACTAAATTGGTATTCAATGTACTTGGAGTTTATATTATACCTTTAATCAAAAGTGAAGACACAGTTTTATCTAATGGTTATTAATAACTTATATCAAGGCATCACAAATCAATGTCAACCCACATTATATTATGGAGTCTGCATGCAGACAGAAAAAGATAGCTTCAGCCTTCAGGTATTTATAATGTAAGCAAATAAAAGATGGGAGGAAAATGAGAGGGACATAAAAGTAAGTTGATTCATTGTGAGTCTTTTAGCAGGGGGATAAGATTGCCAGAAGTAGCTTTCTCTCATCAAGTGTGCACTTTGCCTTATTAACTAGCTGCATCAGGTTCTGTTGCTTTCCATTAAAGTACACCTACTAGCCAAGAAAATTTTTAGTTTGGAACAAAAGTCCAAATAAAAAGATCTGTCCCAAAAAAACCCAGGCAAGTTAGACAAGGAGAATCTCTCCATTCAAGGACTGATAATCATTTGGTACTCCTACCACTCTGGCATACTTACCCATGTTCTCTGTAGGAATAGCCATCATAATGTGAGGTAGACCTACAATCGACCTGCTTAACAGGTCTGGCCACATCCTGAACTAGCTCATATTTAATTCCCCTCCCTGGCCTCTTGCTGTGGTTGGGATCACTTTTGTCAATTATACCAATCCACAGCCTCAGATTAAAAATCACTTTGCTTAACTTTGGACTGAAGTACACCAACACATCTGACTTCTACTTCTACTGCATGACTTTCAATTAACTTGAGAATACATATCCTGCATTCTGTTTTTTAAAAGCCTCAGTCAAAACAACATCATTCTTCTCAATTTAGGAAAAGAAATGACTAGCGAATTTAAAGCCCTGTTAATTCCTATTCTTCATCTGAACAGAATTCACAGGATGCAGTACACTTAGTTTTTGCAAGACAAAGAAAAGAGAAATTAAGAAAAATTTCTCTGTCAGCAGCAGAGTACTTACACACAGCAATGTCCTGGCTTAATACATAGCATGTCCCTGTCTTTTCAATTACCTTCTGACTGCCAGTGCTTGTTTTTCAATGCAAGAGCCAAAAAGAATTCTGAAGCCTTTCAAGAACCTGTGTTTAAAGGAGCTTTTCCTCAACTCCCACAGCAAATTCCCTGGCCATGTGATGAGTCACACTGATCCCCCTTGAAATCAGTATGAAATCAGTATGAAGTGTTAGACCCTTCAGAAGCAGAAGATCTAAAGAGTGGGGAAGGAAAAGCTGCAAATGTGTTCTGACAAATGGATTTCAGTTTCCTTAGAATATGAAAACAAACTTTCTATGTGAATTTTATTAAAGGGCACGTTGATTTTGGGAACTATATTTTACAATGGGAAATAGGATGGGAGACCAACAAATTTGTAAAAGCATGTAGTATTTGATTAGGGTAATAAATTATTTGATTCCTATTTTATTTTGCTGCTCTAAACCATGTTGCAGGTTGGAATTTGTCAGAGGATAGATCATGTAAAAGAGTAGGAGAGGGGATTCAGTCTGGTTAGTATACTACGGTGGTATGAAACTACAGACCAAAAATCTGGCGGATACGTTGCAGAGGGTTAAGCATGGAGACAAGATGACCAATGTACTCTCCAGAGCATGATGCCTCAGTTTGAGAGAGAGAAATTTTTAAAGGGAATTGAATTGCTTTTCCACTCTGTTAACTAAAAGACATGGGCTTGTTTTTCACTATTTGATGTGAAAGGCTTGATGTAAATCCTGAGCCTATCCATGTATTTATGAACTGTTGTGCATCTAGAATACGAATGAGCAGAAGTGTTTCTTACAGCTAAAGGAAGATGTTTCATGGAGCTTAAGAGTCCTATAGGTAGGAAACCAGACTCTGAATTTAAAACTGGTAAAAATAAGTCCAACTTTGAGGAATCAAAAGCCTCTTTCCTAGATTGACTATATTGTTCTGTAGTCCAGTGGTTAGAGCTTCTGTTTCCAATTTTAAACAATTCATCCATGAGAGAAGCAAATATATTGTGACTGAAGCACTGATTTAGAAGAAAATATTCTCATATTTCATTCCCAGTTCTTAATATCTTGTCTCCAGATTGACCTTGAAGAGTCACTTGAATGTTTACCTTAGGTCTGTGTCTATGAAACAAGATAAAAAGTATTTTCTTTTTCTCAACTCCATTATGCTATGAGGCCTAATACACACTAGGATGTCTAGATAATGTAATGTAGCATAACACAGCGTAACATAAGCCTTCAATTATAACACTTTAAAAATGGCCAAAGCACTTGCACGTTTCAAATGTTCTTCAGTCTTATTTTCAAGTGTGTAACAGATTCAAGAAACAAGTTTTTCTGTTTTGCAATGAGATTACAAATTTTTGTTAGGATGTAGTTACCAAAGGCTACTTTTCATGGGATATTTTTTGAAAATGCTGTTCTTAGGTTACTACCTAAATACATTTATATACATAGCAAGAGAAGTTAAATATAAGGTAAGACTGCAAGATACAATTGTTTTTAATAAAGCTCTGCCTGAAGATTTACATTTGGTATAGCACCTTCTTGTGTTTGGTTGGGGGAAGGTTACATGTTGGGGATCTAGGATACAAATTTTGAAGTCAAAATTAGACATTTTTGATTGTTTAATAATGTGATTTCTATTCATGGTGCCCAGCATAGAAAAATAATGCACGAAAGGAGAGAGCAATTGAAAGTTATTTGATTGCAGTCTTTAAAAAGATGAAGTCTGTATTTAGCTGTAATCAGCTGCCCTTTGAAAACCTCTTTTCTGCTTAAATACAGCCTTTGTACAGTCTGCATCTGCCATAATTGGTTTTCTAAAGCCTATAGTGTTGCTTCATTTGCCTTCCTTGAAGGGAGGGGGAAATAGTTATTCATAGACCAGAAATAGAGTTTGCATGTGTATTTCTCTGTTGCAGTTTGGTTTTTTTCTTTTATAAATATCTATTTGAAACTTCATTCTGCTGTTTTTCTCTCTTTTCAGCTTCTGGTTGGGATTATTCAAGCAGCTGAGCTGCCTGCATTAGATATGGGTGGTACATCTGATCCCTATGTGAAAGTTTTCCTGCTGCCTGATAAGAAGAAGAAATATGAGACAAAAGTCCACAGAAAGACCCTTAACCCTGTTTTCAATGAGCAATTTACATTCAAGGTATTTTTTTGATAATTACTGAAACTTTTTTATTTAGCCACTTGTGCTTGCTACGAAGTTAGTTAATGTCTTAGTTAATTGGTAACAGAAGCATAGTGATTTTTTATGTTGTAGAAACCTCCGATATTCAATCTTGTGATGAAAAGGGTATAACATAGGGTCAGACTTCAGTGGGTATAAAAGGCACAGTTTGATTTTAGGCACTTGAGTTATTCTGATGTATGACAATCTGATCTATATTTTATGGCTGCATAAAACTTAGAAGAAAGTCAGAAAACAGTGACACTTTGACAAAGGTCAGGTAAATTTCACAAGACCATCATTTTCTTTAAATATCTTTGTAGTCTGATTTATGAATTTCAGTGTACCATTTCTTTTCCCCTCAAAAATAAATTAAAACTTGGGAAAGGCAAATGGATGAAGGACAATATGACAGATTAATCCTGATAGACTCTGTCATAGCAATTCTTTGCCATGCCACTTTATATATGAAAAGAACTCGTGTTTCAGGTTTAATAACCTATGAATTAAATAAATGTAGCTAAGCCTTACGTTGCAATAGTTAAGTCGTGCCAATAGCATCTGTCAATAATGTTTTTCTAAAACAGCAGCTGTACCTAAACCCGAGTTAAATACAATAAAGGAATACTCTACAGCATTCTTCATAGGACTTCTCCTAATATACATTCCTCTGCTGTTACTCTAGGCCTTTCTCTCTATACCCAATCTCATAATGACAGCTACAGATTGAAAACAGGAACAGTGAAAGACTCAGGCTATGTAATCATTCAATGAGAAAGATATCCCTGGAGGCCAGAGCTACTACTGCATATATAAACTTATTTTTTCCCTTGAAGATGTTCATAAAAATAATCTTTTGTGGGGAGTTATTTTTTTCTTGAGCTTTCCTAAGAGAGTATTTAAAAGAAAACAGAGTTATAAATTTCAGATTCCCATGCAGCTCACAAAAGAAAGAAAGAACCAATAATGCTGTCATATAAGATGAAGGCACAAATTATAAATCTGATCATCCACTCCCGAGCTATGATGTCCACTTGTTTTAAGTCATATCCTTAATACTCAAATTTTATGCTCCAGAAGAAAGTTTGCTTTTTTTGCAAGACATGACAGAGTGTTTAGGTGCATCCCAAAATGGTACTGATCATTCCCTGGATACTGTGTTCTGTACTCAAGAAAAAAATCAACTGAGCATGCCAAGTAGTATCACTGTTCTGAGGACAACAGTGAAAAAGACGAGTGACTATTTGACTAGTGCTGCAACTAATAAATAACTTCCGTGGAAACGACTGGCAATATCTCAATTTACTTAGGCAGAGCCTTGCTTCTGTGACCCTCTTCAAGTGGTGCACTACTTCTGTTATCATTCGTCCAATCTCCCTCTGGCAGAGCTGCCCATCAGGCAGCCCAGGCCCATTTTGTTACCTTCTCCCAAGGCACAACTGTGAGCTGTATGCCTTCCGCCCTAAGAATCACATAATGGTTTGGGTTGGAAGGGACCTTAAAGACCATCTAGTTCCAACCCCCCTGCCATGGGCAGGGACACCTTGCACTAGACCAGGTTGCTCAAAGCCTCATCCAGCCTGGCCTTGAACCCTTCCAGGGATGGGGCATCTACAGCTTCTCTCGGCAACCTGTTCCAGTGTTCACCACCCTCTCCGTGAAGAACTTCTTCCTGATATCTAATCTAAACCTCCCCACTTTCAATTTAAACCCGTTACCCCTTGTCCTGTCACTACAGGGCCTTGTAAAAAGTCCCCTCTCAGCTTCCTTGTAGCCCCATCAGGTACTGGAAAGCTGCAATAAGGTCTCCCCGGAGCCTTCTCTTCTCCAGGCTGAACAAGCCCAACTCTCTCAGCCTGTCTCCATAGCAGAGGTGCTCCAGCCCTCTGAGCATCTTCGTGGCCTCCCATGGATTTGCTCCCACTGGTCATATCCTTCTGATATTGAGGGCTCCACAGTTGGACGCAGCCCTCCAGGTGGGGTCTCACAAGAGCAGAGTACAGGGGCAGAATCCCCTCCCTCGACCTGCTGGCCACACTTCTCTGCATACAGCCCAGGATAGGGTTGGCTTTCTGGGCTGCCAGCGCACACTGCCGGCTCATGTTCAGCTTTTTGCCTACCAGTACCCCCAAGTCCTTCTCCTCAGAGCTGCTCTCTATCCATTCTTCACCCAGCCTGTGCTTGTGCTTGGGATTGCCCCAGCTCAGCTACAGAACCAAAGGGACCAAGAAGCACTAATGGGGATGAGAAGGACTATGTTTCTGCTTTATCAGATCTCATTCGTTCTCTTCTTTGGGTGGTTCTCTGTGTTAGTCCTCTTTTCATTTCAGTTTCCCAGGCATCCATAATGTCGTTCCAGGCTGCAGGTATTCCTCAGGCTCCAGCTGTCTGAATTGTACGCCACCACTGTGCTGCTAAAAGGAAACAAAGAAATCATAGCTAGACTGTGCTAGTTTTGCAGAGAGGTGTTCCTCCACAGTCCCGAAGTGGGATAAGGGTTCATGGCTGTGCCATGAAAACACTCCTGTAAGTGTCCTTCCACCAAGGTCTCACTCACCTCCATTAAGTCAAGAGGCTGAGTATCACTGAGCAGAGCAGAAAGCAGGGGGAGGGAACAATGCTTCACAAGAGCTGAGGACATCCTTGATTGTCCTGAACAAAGCTGTAGTATGAGGCTGCTTTACAGATAATGAATGGAGGAAGCACTGCCACTAGATCTTCTTTAAAAAGGAAAGTAACTAAAATAAGCTTTACTGAGATCAAGTTAATGATTAAAAAAAAAAGAAAATAATGATGAATGTAGTCTTTTCATGCATTCCAAGTGACCAGGATCTATTAAGTGTTATTGTAAACTGATGGAGAAAGAATTTTAGAACATTTCTAATGTTTTTGAGGCTGTGGAAAAATAAAAGTGAAATTATTTGGAATTTTGCCTTCCACATACATTTTGCTTCTATAGCTTTTTAGAAGCTACAAAGAATTTACAGAATCAAAATAGTTTTTGCTATAGTATTTGCTACAATACACAACCATGTACCCACTGAAACTATTGTACTCGATAATGGAAGCTGGAGCTTCTTTTAAACTTTATATAACACGTTATGAAAGAGAAAAACTGCTCATGTTATTCGTAAGTATTTTAGAAAGCGGGTGGAAGCGAAACAGTAACAAAATACAACAGTCCTAGAGTTTAAACAGACCAGAACGTACAGCGGTTAACAAGGCCAATGGTAATGCCACGCTTTCATTTCTCTTTTTATATAAACAATTAATAGGCAAATGTTTACTGAAGCCCATGGAAACCATTTATACTTGCAGAATATATTCAAATTGACCAAGTGTTCAGTGTAAATCCAAACAATTCCTAAATCAGACCTCTCCAAATAGTCACTCAAGTGTAGCTCACCCGAACTGCACATCTTCATCTGCATATTAAAAATGTGACTCATAAGCATCCTAACCCACAGCATCTGTCCAAAACACATCAGAACAGCTGGAGAATTAGTCAGAACTTGGCCTTCTGCCACCACAATTTTTAGCTGTACACTGTGTCTTAGAAAGCACCTTAGTTTCTACAGTGTGAGAGGTATAATAATGAAAAATATGCCTTGGTAAGTAATAGGTAGTGGTACTGTAAGAGAACTATTTAGTGTCTAATTGTGTTGTGTCAGATACAGTAAGCCACTTCTGTTTCTTTCATCAGTCTGGGAGCTATCCATTTCTGAGTGATGACAGTTGATTTATTGAGGTAAAGACACCATTGTGTGAAAAGTTCATGTGTCTTCAGTGCAAATAATTGGGCTTCCTGTTTCAGTTTCATCACCCACAGAATGATTTGAAGCAGAATGAGAAAAAGCCGTGGAGTGATGAGTGAGCTGCCACATTGTTCTATCGAGTGCCAGAGCCTGGTCTCAAAAAATACTGCGTCTGGTGACTCTGAAACAAATACACCTCATAATTTTCTCTGCAGTTCAATTTACCTGAGATGACAGCTGATAAACCAAAGAAATAGATTTGCATTGTGGTGGACTGATCTTTATTGTTTCAGATACAGAGTTTGTCATTTTCTCTTCTGTGCAGGTGCCATACTCCGAGCTGGGTGGAAAAACTTTAGTGATGGCAGTTTATGACTTTGATCGTTTCTCCAAACATGATATCATTGGGGAATATAAGGTTGCGATGAATACAGTGGACTTTGGTCACGTCACTGAGGAGTGGAGGGATTTGCAAAGTGCAGAGAAGGAAGAGGTAAGAAAAATCAGACTTTTTTTCTTTTCCCCCAGGACACTTTTATCCTCAGCTAGAGGAACAGCCAAACTAGCAGCAGCTCCCATCTGTTATCAGCATTTTTCAGACTTACTTTGCCTGATAAATTTTTGATAATCATCTTTTCCAATACTCATTGAATGGTACATTCTCCTTCGCTAATCCAATTTTAAATCTTTTTGGTACTTCATGCAACATATTAAGAAAGTTTTCAAGAGTTTGACTTTTTCTTGAATTGATGCAGTTTGTGTACATAGAATTTGCATCTAAATTATGAGTGGTGTGCCTTTAGGCATCTTTGTGGCCTAACCCTAATCATTCTACACGTTTGCATCTCAAGGCATCTTCTCATGCATGAAGATAATGATTGGTTTTCATTGAAATACCTTACAGTTTTATTGAGCTGCTATGCAATACTATCCATTGATTAGAATGATGCATCTGTCAAAGACCTTGGAATGGCATCTCACTCAAATATTAATCACCATTTTATTTTCCTTTCTGTGCCAACATCATGTGGGTTCATTATGTACTAGGCATAGTGCTTACATGTACACAAGTCACTTTCTGGAAATATTTCATCACTAAATTGTGCATCCTGTGAGATTGTTCATACTGGCACATCCACCTTTTTGCTTATTATAAGACCATTTTGTACTCTGTTTTACATTATTTTTCCTTTTGATTGCTAGATAATATCATCCCACTCATAATAGTCACAGTGCACAGCGTGCTTCAATTCTCTGGTGGGAGAAGAAGGAATCTGAGTCTGAGTTCCTTGTTGTCTAATTTACCTAATAGGCTGCTTTGGATTCAAACCTTAGTTTCTGTGATTAAAGGGACAATCTCCAGGTGAATATTTCCTTAATACAAGTGACAAAAACCTGTCTATTAGATTTTGACTAAAAGATGTGAAAAATTCAGCAGATGCTGAGCCATGCAGCCTTCTCAGATTTTCAAAAATAGTAGATTTCAGTCTTGCCTTTTTGACTGTTTTTAAGACTGTTTGCAGGTGGCTTTCTTTTACTGCTTATTGATTTGAAAGCCACTGATGCACTGAGACTATTCTGCATGGCATTCTTTCATAGTGAGAGCATTAGCAGGGCTCTCTTGTTGCATGTGACATTGATACCCATGCTATAGGGAGCATTTTTCTTCCACTCTTAAAGCTAAAGATGAAAATGAAAAAAATAGATAAAAAGGAAGTTTGCATTTCAAGGGCAGTGTTTCTTTAAGGCCTCAGCATACCAGAAAGATAGAAATGTAACATTGGAGTGTATTAATCCTTCCAAACTTTATTAAGTATCAAATAGGACTTCTGTTGCACCACTGTGTATGATGTCATAGTGTTTCATGTTTTTCCCAGTTCAAAACACATACAATAAGCCAAATACTACACAAAGAGGTATTGAAACTTTACTTTTTTAGTATATCTTTAAGCTTTTAGAACATTAGCAATGGTATCTATCCCCTTATGCAGTGGACAGATAACACGGTATAGATTAGTGTGGGTTTCATCTGTCTTGTGGCATAGAACATTGCCTCTTGAGTTTTCTAGCTCACGTCCACAGTAAGACCTGACTCTGTCGCTTGGTGGCTTCATGAAGTTCATAACCTGTTAATACAAAACAATGATAACATTGCTTGAAATGGTATTGAGCAGTGTGAGCTACTTACAAAAACGCATTCTGACTTGGAAAGAACTTTTTATTAAAACAGAAGGAGTTAATTAAAATAAGTAATTCTTAAGGTATTTGGATATTAGAAGAGTATTACAAGAGGTTTCAACAGTTTGCAGTAGAGGCGAAATCTAGGTTGTCCCTTATTTGTGCTTTTAGAGCCCGTGTGAACTGACAGATGTCTGTTTTTACATGTGTTTGTAATTTCTCTATGCAAATATATTTGCATGGGAGTCATGTTAACTAGAAGAAACTGGCTTTTCTTAGTTCCTATTTGAGCCTCTGCTCTCACCTTTCTTCAAATTTCAGGTACTACACATGCAAAAAAAAATTGTCTTTTTTGTAAAATTTTTGGTTAGGGCTACTAATGTGTGGCTCTCTTATTTGTAGGAAGCTAGGCAATATGATCTTATGAAAACATAAAAAAATGCTTACTCCAACTCCCTAAATATTTTTTTCATTCTACAGAAGGTGTCCTGTTTCATTTTGCATCTCATAAACATGCAAGTTATCAAATAAATATGGGAAAATGTCATAGCTTAGTTAATTAAAGACTTCTTTAATCTTAGTTTTTGATACACTATTGATAGCTTTTCTACAACAGCTCCTGAGCTCACTATACAAATAAAAAGTCACCACACAGAAACCAGTTACTCGAGATGTACATAAGCCAAATATGTTTAATCCAAAAGGTCTTCACTTATTTTTGCTTTGTTATGGAACCTCTGCTTCTGTCATATATACATTGAGCCTGATTCAAAGAATTGTGTAACCCAAGAAATCTCTACCAAGAACCAAGAGAGTTACATCTGTCAGTGGTTTGGGAGCTGTGTTTTACACAAAATGTCATTCATATTTCCATATTTGACTACTGCCACGTACCTCACCATCTTTGAAGTTCTGTCCCTTGCTCCACAGCAAAGATGCCAAACAAATTCTAGTACATTTTAAGTGATAACAAATAGGGGACAGAGAGGGATAGGAGAGTCCTATCTCCATAAACCTCTTATCAGCTAACATAGCAGACATTGCAGAATTCACGGCGAATATAGCTATGACCAAGAAGTACCTGGGCTTCAGAATTACCAAATATAATCTTCTGTATATAAAAGCTAACGTGATTTATCTAGTCCAGATCTGTGGCACCAGACAAATGCTTGTATCTTGGTAGTGATCAAGAACATGATATGGCAGTCTGGCTTACTAATTGTAAGAAAACATGATAAAAATCAGATTAAAACCTAAGCAACTGGATTTCATTCAAAAAGTATGACAAATGTAATTCTGCTACTACAAAAGACCTGTGTAGTTGTAGACTATTGTGCATGTTATAATTGTGTAATTTTAATTTGTCCTTGAAAAACACATCTGTATGTAGTTTGCAGTATTTGAAGAATGACACAGCTTATTTTCTTTTTTGCCCTTACAACGTAAGTTTGTCAGTTCCAAACAACCTAGCACTAGCTAGAATTCTAAATATGTTTGCGGTTAAGTATCAGATGCCAAACTATATTTAATGTTTACATTATTACCCCAAAACAAGATGCATACCAAAGCACATCAGTGGCAATTGTCACCAGTCATTTTGAAAGAACCATCTAGGTGGCATCTGTCAAACTGAGTAGAAAAATCTTATTTTTATTTCACTTTATGTCGAATTCAGTTGCTGAACATCACAGAATATACAAGTTAATTAACACTGCAATCATAGAGGGCAAAATAATTTTATGAGCAATTACTCTTCTTCTTGGTCATAAAGCTCCACTGTACTTTCTATCCTTTTTTCTAAATGGGCTTGAAATTGATGGCAGAGGATGAAGGTTTAATGAAATATTTGAAGCTCTACCTCTCATGGCCCAGCCATTTGAATGGCATCTCTCTGACACTGCATTCTCTTCTGGGAATGTTCTTATTAATATATTTCTGTTTGCGAAGCACTTGAAGGTGCAAGGCTTTATATAACTATTTGCTATGACTGTGAGGGGGGCTTTGGGAACATACAAGTCTGTACAATGACTGCTAAATATTGGGGAAGCCACTACTGATGAGCTGCATACCTTGAATTCTTTTTCCCTGGCTGCTTTTAGCTCTGCTGTCCGTGTGAATATATGGAGATGATTTATCTAGCAGTCCTTCAGTCTCATATGTCTGAGAGCTTGGGAGGGAGAAGTGGTGGATACTGAAAGATTATTCACTTTTACCAAGCCTGACATATAATGGTTTGGGCACAGAGTGTTAAAAAAACAGATTATAGTTTACTCCTCTGTGTCATCTACCAGATGTCACTGCCATTAACTTTATCTGAGTACACACTGCATCCAATATCTGTTATCACTACAGTACAGAAGGCCAGACAGACCTCTTCTTTGATCACAGCAGTGTGAATCATATTGAGAGTCATCTTCCACATACTTCAGCTGATTTCCCTCCAGACATTGGGTTATACTGGCACTTAAACTGAAAGCCTGTTCTTGCAAACATTCCAAGGAATTTTAGGGAATATAAGGAAGAACAGAAACAATTCTTTCCCTTGAAAGCAGTGAAGCAGAGCCTCCATCCATGAGGAGAAGGATCTTCAGCCTGCCACTATCCACCACCAAGAGGTTCTGCAGACCTCTTAAAACTGGCATCAGATGAGACTCCATGCATTACCTGATTAGGCATCCACCATGGGTAGGTTACATGATGGTTGCATGCTCCTATCACCATGGGGTATGATAGGTATATTTTGGATGGAAATCTTCTGGAAAACACCAGCATGATGGGCAACAGCTTCTCTCCTATATGATGCACAATCCCAAGCAGGAGAGATGCTACAGGACTGCCTTGCAGATGGGTGAGATGCAAGAGCTCTGCAGCTGGGGAGTGAAAGGCCAGTTCTGTGAAGCTTGACACGTGCGCTCTTCATGCAGATTGTTCTTTACTTCTTCAGAAAGTAGAAGTTGAAGGAAGATACACGTCATAGAAGTTGGGAGAGTGACAAAGGTACAAATCTGTCTAACTTATTGAACCCTCAGCACTGAAACTTGAGGAGAGGACATTTTTACAAATGTCACTGTCAAATCACAGCAGCAAATCACTGTCATTTTCTGTTATATCAGAGATGGACCTAATAGACCTTTCCTTCTCTAATAATAACACTTAGTTCTTATACAGCTTTGCAGATAGCACTGTGCTTTGCAAAAGGAAGTATTATCTCAATGAAGATCCCGTCAGAATGCCAAACTTTAAATGTGAAGTCTCCTTTATTTAGCTGCAACTTATATTGGATCACTATGTTTTCTGCATGGTGTTCAAGTTTTC